TGCAACACAAAACCAAAACAAAAACTAGTTTTTCTATATAATTGGAAATTCGCAAATGATTAATGGTCATGATTTGGTGCAATGCAATCCATGAAAAAGAAAAATTCTAATGCAATGAATGTCTGCCACATGACAAAAATCAAAAGAAAGAGTTTAGTTGTTTTACAAAATTAGAGAAGTTGTTAAAATATTGTTGAATTGTTTAGTTTAGTCAAGAAAAATTAGAATCAATTTCAATAAGCTCAATTTTAGGGATTTTTGGTAACCAAAATTCTATTTCTGGCAACTTATTGACACGTGGGAAAAATCTATTTTGTGGGGAAGGATTCAAAGTTGTTGAGATTCTTTTAATTTAGTTAAGCATAATAATAGGGCAGTTGGAGAAAATCATGATTAGATTAGATTTTTAGCAATAGCTTCAGTTATGAAGACCTATAAATACAAGATTTTAAGAAAAGTTCAACAGCCCCCCCTTTAAATAACATCAACACTTCAATATGTTTTAGTTTAGCACTCGTTTAGTTCATAGATAGCTCCTACATTGACTCTGCAACTTTTTTATTAGTGTAAAAGAGATTCAACTCCCTTAATGAGTTCTTTATTTTTGTTGTTTTTGGTTAAATTAACTCCAACAATTAGACTTAATATAGTTGTTTTTATTCTACTAATAAACTTCGTAATTATGTATAGTTACCTAGATTCAATTTCTGCTTTATTAGCAAGTTTATGTTTTAACCTCTAGTTGTAATTAATTTTTCTTAAGTTTCAAGCAAAGGTCTTGGTTTTGTTTCATTTCTGTCAATAGCTAATTTAATTCTTTACAATTTTGCCTACTTCAATTTACCTTTCTGCCAGTGAGTAGTTTTTACATTTTATCACACATTTTAGCTTATTTTTGCTAGTACTCTTAGTTTCAACTCTAGCTAAGTTTTGAGTTTTCTATCGCACTCTTTAATTTAATGTCCTTTTGTTACTTTAGTTTTAGGTCATTCTTTTATTTTTGCCATGCATTCTTTCTCCCTTTTTTTTTTTTTTTAACTTCTGCTTATTTTACTTAATAAACTAACCTCATTATAGCCATAGATGTGGGAAATTCTTCTTGATGTTCTTTCAAGACAATTATTTTTAAACCTTCATGTAGGAATGCAACCCCATTTTTACTATAATCATCTGGTCAATGTATTATTAGCATAATTATTCAATCAATTGGCATTCTTCCATCAACTTTAAAACAAGTTCTTATGCTTAGAAGAAGTGATGGTCACTAGAAATCCTTCTTTCTTGCTGTGAGCAAAGTAAGTGTCACGCCTAGGCAACTTCTATCACGAGCGACCAAGAGAAGAGGATTTTGGTGGAAACACATATAGAAAGAAAAGTCTTCCATTGATACATTTAAGAAATAGAATTGTGGTGTGTATGAATTTCTCCTCTAAGATACTATGTACTTCAAAGATAACGCTTCTCATTTTGTTTAACAAGCACTACGAATAATCCCCAAAAATCCTAAAGCAATGCCTGTGCGATAGACTTGAGTTGTGGGGCTTGCCTTTTATTTTGCTATAAAGCAAGTAAGCAAGATTTTTTCGAAAAACGCTCTCCTTTTGAGCAGTCAACTTCCACAAGGATGGCTAGAAGAACATTGGTTATGAAATTGAATTTTGCACCTTTAGATGATTTATAGGATAAAAGAATGCCTTTCTATAAAATGGGTTACTGATCAACCTTAAACAGTTTCAAAGACATTAAAACACCACTGTAAACTAAAAGTTTAGTGATCTAAAAATGAGTGAATTAAATAAGCTTCCATCTACTAACAAAATACTAGTAGATTAGACTAAGTCATTGCAAAACTGGAAAATTAAATGGGCTTGAAACTAGAGTAAAGCTAAGTAATCATGATATTTAGGCAAATAAGATTGAGATTAATATGAACATGAATGAGAAGCATGAAAGCCATATAAGTTGCCATTTGAAGAAATGACACTTATTTCAAAACTACTAAAGATTGCTTCAGAAGCTAGAATTGACCTAAATATGATTCGAAGTTGTGCTAAAACTAATATTTGTGAGCTATTTTGAATAGTAGTTATGAAAATTAAAAAGTTGAATTTGTTAAGTTGTGTGTAGGAGTGGTCATATGTTGCTTGGTCTAAATTTTCTCTTTTTATATGTTTCAAGATAAATGGTAACCATCCACTCCCATTTGTGCAAAATGTGAGAGACTTCATAGGTTAGTTAGACAACACAATAGTAAACTTGATCCAAACTTGCTCCATTATTTATCACCTATTTGCCACTTGATTAGAATTAACCTCCCATGTCTCCTATTTGCTAAACTTGGTTGGCAACTCCTAAAATTTAATCATTTCATCAACATCAAATGATATTAGAATATTAAGACATAATTAATTACCAAAAACCGTGGATCTAGTTGAACACGACAACCATTCATAGGTCTATCATTCTATAGATCACATAACCATTAAGTTTGACATGACTTAATTATAGTCATCTATTCAAACAATGTGACATGTGACATCATTAAATAAATTTACAATTTATGATATAAACAATTATGCTATAAGGATGTGTTGTTCATGTAATTGGTCCTGTAATTTGAGCGAGATTTGATCACTGGAAAAAAAAGAAAACTCATTCTATTTCTAGTGCTAATTTCATAGCAAACTATAAATATATGTCAAACGAATATGAGGTCATCATTCAGAAGTTGAAACACTTCCACAAATGTTTTGCATTTCAAGTGCATGATAAAGTTTCTATTGCAGTTCCTTAAGTAACTTTTCTCATACACTTAAATGCAAAACATTTGTGCAAGTGTTTCAACTTCTGAATGATGTCCTCGTATTCATTTGACATGCTGCCCATTAAAATATATCACTTCCTTTGTCCTAAAAAAAAAAAATGCTGAGGCCTAACCTCAAACCAAAAACACTTTGTATATTATTATGAAAATATTATGCTTTGAATATTAGGTAATAAGTTATCATTATATTATTATTATATAATTGATTTAGTTGGGACTTGATTGCAAAATCCTTCTATGATTCGAACCTCACAATGGCCAAACCCAAAGAAAAGGAAATCAATGATTGCAATTCTTGAATTACATTTTTTGTTCCTAGAATGACAACCAACAGTTCCCTTTTCCATATCTTAAACTTTCTCCTCACTCATCCAAAAAAATGAACAATGAAAAGCAATCAGATCAGATTCCGTACTCATCCCTTCCCTCCCCCTCATTCCCCTCACTGCTTTTATTTTATTTTATTTTATTTTATATATTTAAGGAAAGACTAGATTCCATACAAAAAAAAAAAATT